ATATATATATATATATAGGTTTTCTTGTGAATTAAATAAAGCAGAAATACTACTTCGTTAAAATCACGATATGTTTATGTTTGTGAATTGATATAAACCTTTTAAATCATAAAAGATAGAAATAAGTGATGGAATAAATGCGTAACAGTTTTGTGTGGTGTTCTAAAAATTCGACTAGAGTTCGAGTCTATAGTTTAACTGCTACGCCTTTTACAAGTATCAAAAGGTATTGTGTTAAAAAAAAAAAAAAAAATGATTTGAGTAATTACAGATAATTTATAAACATGGGGCAAATTAGATTGTGCTTTAAAGTGAAACAGAACTTCTCAATGTCGCCCAATATAATTTTCAACGTTACTATTTACAAATATCAGATAAGCTTCTACCCACGGATGGCAACATAAAAACTTTCTGTACAGGACTTACATTTTATAAATTAAATCTTGACTTGCTATTTAGGAAAATAACTTGTACTATAGCATGTTTGGTGCAAAAAAATAATAATAACATTTTCATCTTAAATATTTGGAACCCACAAATTGTTCTAACCAAAATTCAAACAATTGAGACAGAGAATTGTTGTCCACCATCCCTAACTTATAAGAGAGTTATTCTTTTCATCAAATTTAAATTTTTAGGCTCTGTTCTCTTTGTGTTTCAATTGTCTGTTTTGAGTTTTGAATTTATTTTAAATTTTGTATTTTGAGTGTCCATTTTGAGAATATTAAAATTGCGTTCTTTTTGTTATTTTAGATAACTATTTCTCAAAATACGAAACTCAAAAACGCGTTCACTTCGAACCCTAAATTCAACTCTTATCTCTCAATACCGCCCCACCACCATCAACCATCAACTCCATGCCACCTATGGAGGGTCAAACCACCACTTTCCGGCCACCATAGCTGCCGAATCATAGTACCAACTTGAAGCCCACAATGTTGCCTACAAACCCCACCCAACAGTTGGCCCTAATTCCGGCCAGTCTGGCCGGAAATTCTGCTCAAAATCAGCCAGTCAACCACCGCACCATCCTAATTTCTGCTCAAAATCAACCACCGCACCACCACGACACAACCATCAACCTAAATCAACCGCACTGACACCCAAATCAACACCAGAAATCAATAAAAAATCAACACCACCACCGAGAAATGTAGAATCCAAAATCAACACCACCACCACCACCACAATCAAACATCCCACCACCAAATAAACCAAAATCAACATGCGAACTTCGCCTCCCCCAAACCGCAGTCACCGTCGAAGAGAGAGGAGATGGAGACAGGCAAACGAATCTGTCACGACGCTGTTGTTCACAGCAGCGTCGCCTCCCCACGCCGACGCCGGCATCGGCACTCACCTTCGTCGCCTTCCAACGCTAAGTCGACGTCCAGAAGAAGAGGAGAAAGACTGGATTGAGGCCCTTTTTGAGTCCATTTTTTGAAATTTCATTTTTTTTTCAAATTTTTTTTCAATCACATATTTTTTAATAATATAATTTGCATACGTATATTCAATTTTTTTTTTTTTACCATATATTTTCCAATAAAATTTTCTATTTCAAAATCTACTTTTTCAGAAAATGGGGCTCAAAGGGAGCCTAAACAAGCATATACATAAAGAAAGAGATACGGATAGATGCAGGGAATGAAGAGAGTGAACCTGTTAGCACTTTTGAGGGAGTAATGGATCTCGCAAATGGGAATAGAAGCACTGTATGGATTTTTAATGGAAACATTAGCCATATACGTTATGCCCTCTTTTCCAACATCCTTAAGATCCACATCTGTAATGTCGGCTTCTGGTTTTTCCATGTCAGCCACCTTTTCTGCAACAAAATTCTTCGCTTTGCCCATCAAATCCTGCATCTTTCTTCTTCTCTTCTCGGCTTCTTCTCTTTACACAATAGAACAACAGGGATCAGACAATAATGAAATCCAGGTACATGTGTATATTAATATATAGATATATATGCACTTGCAACGTATTCTAGACACGATTTTATACACTATAGTATACGAGCAACGTGGAGTGTAATGGTCCAAAGGTTTCATCATGCGTGTCAATATGATAGGGACACAGGAAGCAATGAGTTATCTTACTTTTTATTATTTTATTTTTTCCCAAGTTTTTCTCATTTGGAGTCTAGTGCAAACTCGTATATATCCCGTCCCCAGTCACCTCCGCGTGTATAGGCGTGTTAAATGGATAAAGTCGATACGTTCAATTTGTCCACCATCAAGTTCGTTCCACCGACGATTTGAGCATGAACAGACTCGTTTTGTCGAATGTGGGGTTGGCTCACCCGCAGCTCGTCTACTGGTAGGGTAAGCCAAATTGACTCATGAACCATTCACAATTAATCATTTTTTAATCAAAAAATGTATTTTACTTTCAATTTACGAGTCGACTTACCTAGTTTGCAAGTCAAACCCGCTCGGTTCGCAAAACTTAACATTCCTACATACGTCCTACCTTAAATTTTAGTTTTTTTATGTTTATAATTTAAATTAAATGATCAATGAGGTCTTGGATCCAATATTTCAAATAGTAACAGTTGTCCATGTCATGACCAACTCCGCCTGAGTGTCATCTGAAGCTGGATGAGCTGCCAAGAAATCAACTAACGCTTGTTTGAAAATATAATACTATATAAATTAATCAACTAAATGAATAATAGGGATATCTTAATCTCCATCTTGCTTACCCACCTTTCAAAAATTCCACAAAAAGTAGGGCCGACAAGGGCCTATCATTCGTTGCCATTCTAACAATTTGTCATGAATTGGTGCTAGTACTCAAAATTTGCCACATTAATCAATAGAAATGAATAATAATTATATTTTTCTTTTTCACTAGTAAAGAGAGATGATTGCATTAAGAGGGAGAAGTAAAAACGTTAAGTGAGAAGTGTCGAGCTAAGGTAGTTCGGCCCATCAACATCCTTAAAGATAATTGTTTTGGACTCATCTTATTCACTGGTTTTGGTTAATTTCATCAAGACTCATTGTACTTTTAGTTACTTTAATTTGTATCAATTAGGACTCTAGATTTTATTTTTGTCTCAAATTCGATCACTATACTATAATTTGGGACAATTATGTTTCCTCCAAAATTATTTCAATACTTATTTACAGACTATAGTGGTATTATGAAATAATATTCAGGTTCAAGGGGTAAAAAAAGGTTCTTTTATTTTATTAAAATCTAAATGAAACTTTTGTTAATTAAGGTTTAATTCATATCAAATAGGAATTCAGAGGCTAAGAGAAAATTTTCAATTTGTAATTATTTAATCTGAGATTAAATACAATCACGAGAAGTGTATGTCTCTATTGGAAATATGGTTGAGATTAATATTTTTCTAAAAATATTTTCAAAAGACTCTTTAAATATGAAATATTCTCTATTTTAAAGAGTCGATATTTAAAATCATTCTTTAAGGGTGCGTTTGATTGTCAATATTTTTCATGAAAAATGTGTTTTTTCTATCCAAATTCTTACTTTTGTGTTGTTTGATTGTCATTTTTTCTATGAAAAATGTTTTTCTACTTTTTGTCACGTGACCATATTTCCCTCAAAATTAAGGAAACTATTTTCTTTAGGGGGAATATGATTTTATTTTTCAGAAAATTCACTCTCTATTCACTCTCTCTTATCTATACATCAATAAACAATTAACAAGTATAATATTTTCTAGGCTATAAATTAAATTAATCGAACACATGTAATTGACAATTTTCATGCATATCCCATACAAATTCCATACTTTCAATCAAACACATCCTAAGAAACTCTTTAAATTAACATTTTAATTTAGAGAGTGTTTACTTTCTATAATTAAATGCATTCAAAATGCTTCAATTTTCAATGTAGGATAATAATAAAATAATTTACGAAAAGTTAGTGAAAATAAAAGATAGAGAACAATAAATATTTTTTGGGAATAGTAAAATTAAGTGTTAAATATAAAGAATTTGTTGGAGTATTTCAAAATTTTGACTCTCTAAATTTATGGATGATCTCCAAATGATAAAATATGAAAAGATAGAGAACAATAAATATTTTTTGGGAATAGTAAAATTAAGTATTAAATATAAAGAGTTTGTCAGAGTATTTTAAAATTTTGACTCTCTAAACTTTTAGATGATCTCCAAATGATAAAATATGCTATTTAAATGCAGAGTCTTTTAGAGATATTTTTACTTGCTATAAACAACGATATGATTCAGGTTATGAACTGAGTTACTCGACGATTCAGATGAATTTATGATACGGAGGCATATTAAGTTGGATTGTCGTGTAAGAATATGATCGGTTCGTGCAGGCCTCTGGGGCGCTGCGATTACTATGGAAGACAGGTCGTAGGATAAGGGTTGAGTCAAAGGGTGGATACAATCTTTTAGCCTTCTACTTTGGGAACAAATCCAATCAGTAAAGGGTGTTTCAGGAGGTAGATGGACCTTTAACAATCAACTTCTCTTTCAAGTAGTGGTATTTACATAATTCTTTTAAGTCTCGTTTTCATAATTTTAGAAAGAGGAATATGCGAGAAAGTGGAGAATGGTGTAAGTCATTGATTTGGGTCGTCCGTGTATGCGAGTGCATGTTTGAATCCCCACATAATTATCGGAAGAGCCCTGCTTTTTGGCCAAGCTCAAAGTAGCAGCCCCCAATAATTTGACCTAGCCTTGAGCCTGGCCAAACAGGCTTTTCCTTATTAGAATGAGGCATTCCAGTTTACATTGAGAAACTTCAACTAAAATTTAATTGGCCAGGCTTTTCCTTATTAGAATGAGGCATTCCAGTTTACATTGAGAAACTTCAACTAAAATTTAATGTGTTGATACAGTAAGCACTCCTAGCAGAATTTTGCTATACATGTGGAGTGCTCAATCATAAAGTGCGCGACTGAATTGTGCAACTCGAGGTGCACACATTGAATGAGCCTGGTCAGGAGCGGACCCTTACTTTTTGACATTTACAAAGTAGTCCACATAATTTTTAATCCATAAATTTACTTTTTTAACTCATAATTTTTACATAATTCTTTCTCGCCCTCATTGAATCATGTTCCTGGGTCCGCCCTTGAGCTTGGTCCAAGGCATTACGGTGAATGGATTAAAGCACATACTCATGTCTCGAAGAATCGAATCACTCGTCATAGGTAGATTAAGTAATTCAAGCCCTTTGTTCTCATTTTTCTTGTAGTTTTTACACGTGTTCCTACATCTATTGCAAAAATCGGTGCATAATTTATATGATCCGTCAAGTAAAAATATGTGCGCGATAATATATTCTATTAAGATATAAATTATCTTATAGAGTTTCAACTTATCGAAACCAAGATCCGTGCATGAAAAAAGTAAAAGGACAACTTACTAACATTTAAAAAAGTGTAGATATTAAAAAAAGATGAATTATTAAAGGTATTTTTCGTTTTAAACCTTCCTTTGGTCAATTGGTTTCGTTGATTCGCTTCTAAAATAGAGATTCTGTTTAGCTCATCGGGCTGAAATATTTACATCAATATGTCGCTCCTACCAATTTTCAATATGTGGAGCAATTACTTAGAATTATAGTTTGCAGATAGTATGATAAGAACGAAATAGATGATTTTTTTTTACCATACTATCGAATTCATAAAATGCTATCGATTATAGTAAGCTCATTTCATTTAAGATGTGAAATGTGGGCAATTATTGTAAATCTAGATAATAGATCAAAGCAGTATCTCTCAAATCAAACTTTGATATTTTCACTATTTCGGCCTTGAACCTTTTTTGACTCTGCAAGTGCACTAGACAATTTACCTAAGTAAAATTCTCTTACAATCAGCCAAGCCGCCTCACATATGTGGTGTTCTATAAAGATTAATATCGTACAATTCCACTTATCTTGTTTACATTATATGGTTTCTTGCAGTGATTATCTTACAATACTCTACTTATATCGTTTACATGAGATTATCCTTAGCAATATTTTGTATGCAACACTTATTTGTATCATAGAAATAAGGAGGAATTAAAACTCCAAAGTACTTCTCATTGAGTCATTTGCTCGTCTGAACAATTTGAAGATACTTACACTTGCAGATTATCGGGACAAATTTGAATAGTGTAAAAATCAGAACAACATGATCAAAATCGGAAGAAGAGCACTCTGATTTCATGATGTGTTATTAAAATGAATTCACTCCCTTCTGTGGTACTTAAGTCGGTCAAATACCGCCTTTCAGGATAGAATGAATTTGATCTTTCACAAAAGCAACACTACAAACATGAACTATTGCACATTAGATTTTTTGCACGAATTTAAATGCATATTTTGTATCTCCCTTGTAATGCATATATGGGAGATTTAATAAAAAATTTATAAAAGTTATGAATCTCATGAAATATATGATTAAAATTAAATTAATTATTAATTTTGACTTTGATTTTTATTAACTTTTTTAACTAAATCCAAACGGGCTTACTTGTAAATCAAGAATTCAAACAATATAACTTCTCCCACCAACCCAACTTCATATAATCGATCGGGTCAAATCCATTGGCTTCCCACCCGTTTTTAATATACTCAAGCAACCCCTCTTTCACTTTTCAGATTCAACTACTTCAATTTCAAATTAATATCATTAGATATATATAAGATATTACAAAAGCATACAAAGTCAAGTTGAAAACATACACGTTCTCTAAACATTGGCAGATTTTGCGGCTGCAGTAGTTGACACGAATTACTAGAACCTGTTAGTGAGGAACCCGATTTGTTTGAGAAGGGGACTCAGAGTTTCCATTAGCTTCTCGCACGGGTGGTTGTGGATTCCCTCGTACGTTGTCACAACAATGCTCGCATCCTTGGTTAGCCTTTGTACTTGTTTCTTCACGTTGCATGTGTGATGTGTGCATCGATAGTAGCTCCTTTCCATGCAAGATGATGAAGGTAAAATTTCAAAATGAGGATCAATCGAAAACAGGTATATAATTTATGGAGATATAAAAAAAAAAAAAAATTATTATGCACGAAAAAGTGGTTATCGAAAAGAGGGTATATTATGCCCCCGTTTGGTGGTGCTTTTTCACCCCAAAAATTTGATTTTTTTTAATAGTTATTTCATGATTTTAGCCGTTATTTTTTACTTCTTCACTCACAGGTGGCTTCCACTTTTCTTCCCAACGGTCAAAAAAGTAATTTTTATAATCACTACCGAATGGGCCCTATATATATTCTTCCCTTGCGATGTGTTTTTGTGTATATATGTGTTCACACGTGTCTATATCCCTCTACCAACACAAATATCAATTTACATGAGAGTGCAATATTAAACCATAATTTTTTGCTTATTTTAAAATTATTTTTCTTATTTTTCTAATTTCTTATGTTTAGCTTTAAAAATTTATTTATAACTTAAAGAAAGTTTTTTTTTTTTTTTTTTTTTTAACCCTCTTGTTGCACAAAGTGATTAAGAACGTAATTGATGTTCGTTGTAAAAGGCCAGTCTTTTCAAAATGAATATTTTAAATGCTTATATGCATAATATTTATATCTTTTTTATTCGAAGTAAAATTTGCCATTAACAAAAAAGTCTCAATAATATTTGCCTAGTTAATTTTTTCTTTTTTTTACGAAAGTAACAAAATCGACAAACTTCTTACTAGAAAGAGGAAATCCAAACTTTGATCCGGAGACAATAGCAGTTTTTTGCATCTTGAAAAAAAAAAAAAAAAAGAAAAAGAAAAAAGAAGGTTACATATCTTACAATATGATTGCAATTGCAAATGAGCAGAGAATTTTATCAAAATTTCAGATTGTTAAAATTTGACTTGTCCTATGTTGTTGTGCTTTAAACTATTAATCTAAAATATGCAGTTATTTTATTTGTTAATTTATTGTAAAAAGGGAAAGTGATCTCAATTGTATATGTGCATAACATATATAACTTTTCTTAACATTTTTTTAATTTTGTTTAAACGTTACCAAAAATATTTTTGATTATTATTTTAGCTAAAAACAATAAACTTTTTTCTTAATCAAAAAATGTGGAAGAATATCCTAACGAACGAGAAAAATAGCGAGAAAATTTTTAACATTCTTTAGTAACAGTTTCAAATATAAAATAAAGAGAAAAAGTTATAATCCAAAACTCACATCTATTTTTGGCATCGTAAAAAAAAAAACCTCGAATATGGTTTTGTAATTTTCTAAAAAGGAAAATTATTCGTAATATAAGAAAAAATGGCCATGCAAGTTGAAAATTTGAAGAATAACCTGGGAAACTTGCTATTTTTGACAGATTTTTGGCCGTATTTTCGCCAACGATAGCCATCATCAAGTATATCTTCTTCACTCTTGGTTTGAAAGGCAAATCTTGGAATGGTGGATTTTCTATTTCGACCACCTCTTCTTTTATCCTTAATATTTTCGCTCTTATCTTCATAAGCAAATTTGGCCACATTCACAGATGCTTCAGCAGCATTTTGTTCAAAGATATGATTTTGATTGTAATTACAAGACATTAAGCTTTCCAAATTCGTATTTGGCAGAAGGGTTGATGAAATAGAAGGTGTGAAGAGACAAGGAGGGTTGGTGGGCGGCGGTGGCGGTGGTGGCGGAGGTGGCGGTGGAAGTGGTGGTGGGGCTTCTTGTTCTTCCATATTGGAGGGCTCCTCCAAAATATTCTAGAGGCGAATATGGAAGTCTTTGGGACGTATTTATATAGTTCAAAGAAGGTGTGGTACGCTCACCAACACACACACATTGTGTGTGTCTGTGAAGAAGGTTGGTCATTGGATTGAAGAAGAAGAGTGTTGTTTCCATCTTTTGTCAATGAATTAAACTCAGGCCAACTAAATTCAACTAATTTCAGTTCAACTGCCCCACAAACCATAGATAAATACGTGATCAAAGCGTGCATGCCCTTGTTAGCTCTCGTTATTTACAATGCACTTTTATCTATATACGTACATGTATATGTGTGTATTTTTTAATGTTGAGTTAGATCATCAAATCTTTGGTCATCATCAGAATATGGAAAAATTGCAATTAAGATCCCAAACCTTTCACTTAGTTGCAGATCATATTCAAACAATATTTGATTTGTTGCACCCACAATCCTAAACCTTTCATTTCATTGTACCTAGAGGATAAATGAACAGGATTCGTCCATTCTCTCGTTAGTTGACCAAAAATTAAGAATTTGACTCATTTTGACCAATTAAGTGAAGAATAAAATGATCAGTTCAATATTCACACTTTTAAAATCAAAAAGCAGGTGTTATGTTTTTTTACATCCACAAATTGAACGAGAATGAGCACTCTACACCACTCTCTTCTACAATAATTTTACAAGAAACTCATGATTATGAAGATAATCCAATAGAAATTGCTTGTCATTTTAGATGCTTCCTCCCCAAACTCGAGTATAGTGAATTTTATATATATATATATATATATTTGTTTAGGTTTTTAAACTTTTTTTTATTGAACTTATATGAAATGTTCAATCTTTTTTTTTTTTTTTTTTGGGTATAGTGGAAGGAGGGCGGTACTTCCAAGATTTTATTAATATATCCTCCCTTGTGACGAAGGAATACATGATTACATATAATATCAATAAAAGCAATAAATGAGGAAGCACTACTTCCCTTACAATAAAAGTAATCAATAACTGGAAAGCAATAAAATAGGAATTACTACTTCTTTTACGATAAATGCTAATGTACATAAAAAGAAAGTTACAAAGACCAAAATCTTACACTATATATATATATATATATATATATATATAATCTGTGCGAGTGCCCTGATGTGCCGTGGTTAGTCTGCTAGACCATATACTCGAAAATTCCAATGATCCCAACCTTCTGAAACAAGTGCATCTGCAACTTGGTTTCCTTCTCTGTAGATGTGGGAAATCATATTTCTTTCAAGTGAAATGTTGTCTACAATCTTTCTAAGTAAGCCTTGAGTATCCCATGGTCTTCCACCTTTGGTGATACAATGAATAGCCATAATAGAGTCCGACTCAACCCAAATGCCTGAAAACCTAAGATCCCTGGCCAATAGTATTCCGTCGAGAATAGCTCTAAGCTCTGGCTCTAATATCATACAATGTCCATATGAAGTTGAGAAGGCCATGATACATTTATCTTCGTGATCCCTAATGATACCTCCCCTGCTCGCAATACCATCCTTGACACATCCATCAGTACTGATCTTTACAGATACATCTGATGGAGTGCGTCACCAAACCATAGTAGGAAAGAGAAGCAGAAGGAAGTCATAGAAATACCAAAAGATAGAGCAAGCTATTTCAGCACGCCA